TGGGAGCAATTAGAGCGGGAATTCCTCAACCGCTTCTACAGCACCCGCCGCACTGTGAGCATGCTAGAGCTAACGAGCACAAAGCAGTGGAAGGACGAGCCAGTCATTGACTACATCAACAGATGGCGCACTCTGAGCCTCGACTGTAAAGATAGGCTCTCGGAAACCTCTTCAATCGAGATGTGCATCCAAGGCATGCAATGGGGTTTGCAATACATCCTTCAAGGCATCAAACCACGGACCTTCGAAGAGCTAGCCACCCGCGCCCATGACATGGAGTTGAGCATCGCCCATCATGGGAAGAAAGAACTGATCGCCGACTACAAGAACGACAAAGTTCTTGGGACAAAGGGGGAAAAGGCTGCATGGAAATCCACCAAAGAAGCAATGACAGTCAACACAGCTCCCGTCAAAATCCCTACACGAGGCAAGGCGATTCAAGCCGAAGGCTTTCGTAATCAAGAGATGCGTAGACGCACTTTGAAGGAGCTTGAGGAGAAAACTTATCCATTCCCCGACTCTGATGTGGTTGCCATGTTAGAAGACCTGTTGGACAAGAAGGTGATCAGTTTGCCTGAGTGCAGACGGCCGGAAGAGATGAATCGTACCGACAGTCCAAGATACTGTAAATTCCACCGCTTCATCAGTCATCCGACAGAAAAATGTTTCGTGCTGAAAGATCTCATCATGAAGCTGGCTCAGAAAGGAATCATCGAGCTAGATCTTGGCGAAGTGGCGAAGTCAAACTATACCACCTTCACTTCTGGCTCTTCCGACTCAAAGTTTTCACCTCAACCGCTGGGGGCATCGTCCAAGACAAGCAAAATTGAAGGATGGACTCAAGTCACTCCTAAGAAATTGCACAAGAAGCATACGTCTCCTCCACAAGTCCGCCAATCGGAAAGGGGGCAAAGCAGCTCTTGTCAACCTTCAAAGCAACGTGAACGTATTGAAGATGATGAAATTTCGACATATAGATCGTCCATCCCCATCACGATGCGTGATTTCTTGCTTGAAGACTTCTTCAACTACTCAGTCAAGGCTCCTTGCTATGAAGATTGCGAGGAACGACTCTCTCAAATCGCTTGACGAACCAATTCTCCTTGCCCGCACGAGTCTAAACTGCATGGCACAAAGCTCCTTGTCTGCAAGAGCCTAAACTGCAAACGACACCAACGCTCCTTGCCTGCACGAGCTGAAACTGCAACACGGCACCAAAAGCTCCTCGCATGCACGAGCCTAAACTGCATGGCACAATGCTCCTGGTCTGCACGAGCATAAAAGGCAACACCAACGCTCCTGGTCTGCACGAGCATAAAAGGCAACACCAACGCTCCTGGTCTGCACGAGCATAAAAGGCGACAACCTAAAAGCTCCTTGTCTGCACGAGCTGAAACTGCAACACGGCACCAAATGCTCCTTGTCTGCACGAGTTGAAACTGCAAACGGCACCAAAAGAAAATACCAAAAAAAAAATATATATATATATATATGTATGTATTTGAACTACGTTACAACTTGATCTCTTCTTTGGAGGGGTACGTAGGCAGCTCGAATATTCAAAATTTGAGTTCAGTCACATCAAAATAAAGAATAAGAAAAAAAAAAATATATATATATATATATGCCTCAGAAGCAGATCAAATAACATCTGCAATTCCAACAGGCCCAAGCCTTCCTTCATTTCACAGCCATCGGATCCCATGAAAAGGCCAAGTTGTTCTCTTAACTTGACAACCCATCTCTCCAAAACCAATGAGCCCAGCCACAAATCCAGGCCCAGGCTTCGACTTGTCTTCTTCTCCCAGCTATTCTCGGCCCACAGAGGCCAATTCCTAGGCTGAGATCCCCTCTCTCACATACTTTGGCTCTCTCTTGTCTGTCTCTCGTGGTCTCTGTGGCGCTATGAAATTTCCCAAAAGCAAACCCTAGCAGTCCGGCGGTTCGTCATGATCATCAGCCTACAAAACTCACCCTAGGGCCTGTAGATCGCTGCCACTTTCACAATTTCACGGGGAATTCTCTCCGACGGAATCTGATTTTCTCGATTTCGATGTGTCAGAAGCTTTCTTGGAGTTCGTGCAACCCAATCAATCGGCGAATCAAATCATCCGGTCCGATCGAGTTTTCAACCAAGGTTTTCGGATTCTCTCAGACTCTTCCTGAAATTCGAACGCTTTGCATTGATAAGCGCAGAGAGAGGGCTTTCTTTAATTTCACCGAGATTTGTGAAATTCGATTCTGATTGCGGCGGTTGGCAGAGGAGGATTGGGTCGGCGGCGGACGGAGGGTTGAGGAGCCTAATTTAATTCCGAGCATCGCATCTGTTCGATATCGGTTTCTGAAGGATTGGAATCGACAGAGCTGAGATTGGTGATGTGGTTGGTGATGCGAAAATTACTTGACACACAAATTAAACCCTATTTGTGACAATTGTAGTAATGATGTAAGTAGGGATCGTTCTAACCGGGGATTAACTAGGGGTGCTAAACACTTGACTCAAATAAATAAAACTAACTTTTAAAACACTAAGACAAACCAAAAGACTCAAAACAAGTTCAAAAGACTCCAAATACTTAAAAGCATAAAATAAGATAGATTTGAACGACTAAGACTTTAACAAAATATGGGGGGGGAAATTGAGTTGTTTTTGACGAGATTAAATTAAATGGACAGATTATAATTAAGGGCAAAATGTAAATATGAATGCAATGAAAAATATGGATGATGGAATAGCTTAAGGGGTTCTTCTCCACACATGTCACACTTGCAATACAAGATCGATTCTCAGTTGGTCTTTCGATAAATTATGAAACTCAACACCCTAGGTTAATTAGGTCCGCTTAAATTAACCGTCAAGTTCTCCTTAAGTTAATGAATTGGATGGGTTTGCGCAACGCAATTCACAACATTCTCCAAAAGTCCTTTACGTGAAAAGCACAATAAAGATACAATCAAAGATCATTAAGCATCATGAAAACTATAAGTGTTGACGAGGTATTCGTTATTATGAAAAGCATGAAACTAGTGCCAAGAATTCATTTAACGCGATTGTTTATAAGCAACCTCTACTACTTGTGAATATAAGTTCATAACGATTAGGTGAAACTCACTTATATTCTAGCGTCATATTTATGCATGAAAATTAAGCGTGCACTCTCAATAAACATACATAAATAAGTTATCAATCAAACGGTTAAACAAATTGAATCCACAACTTATGAAATTCCAACCAAAGATAATCAATTCATATTGCAAGCATAAACATAGTTTCGAATCACCCCCTAGCTAAAGGGGGGTTTAGTTCCTCATACTTGCAAAACAAAGATACATAAAATTAGACATTGAAATCAAAGATAGAAAACACCTAGAAACGCTCCAACACTCCCAAGGCTTGGGCTTAGGCACGGCACAAGATGTTCCTTCTCCTTCCTTACTTGCAAGCTGCGGCACTAGAGGTTTTGGACTGTTTTGGGTGGTTTTTATGGTGTAGAATGGATGGGGAATGGTATGGAAAGGTTTAGGATTGATGGGTGGTGTGGCTAGGGGTGGTTTTTGGCTAAATTTGGAGAGAAAATCTGTTATGACTTTGATGAATATGGAAGGTGGTATTTATAGGCTTGAGATAGGACCACTCCATTTCCTTTGCATGTGAGCTTGTGTGGGTGTGTGTTGGCATGTTTCCTCTTTACATTTACACACACATGCTTCATCATTTCAACCACAACACACACACATTTTCTGCCCATGTTTCTCCTTTCCTTTGCATGTGTTGTGCCTTCTCTTCTAGCTGTGCATTTCCACTTGCTCCAAAGACAAATGAGTGTAATCATAACCCCATTTGCTGCTGAGTGTTGATGACAAAGCAAAACACAAAACAAGTGCCTTTTATTAGCCAAATCTGCTTAGCCCGTTTCTAAACCTTTCAGTGTTAAAATGCCCATAACTTCTTCTAGAAAAATGATATTAACAATCTGTAAATTGCTCCAGAAAATAGACATCCGTAGCTTTCCAAGCATATAAGGCTCATTCTCTCATTCATTTGGAGCTGTTCGTAACATGCTTCCAAAGTCAGCTAATCTGCACAGGCAGTTTTGACGAATTTGTTGGTTGTCCATGTTTCTCTTTTGCACATGCCTTTCTTGCTGTTTTCTTCTTTGCATGTGTGTGTTGTCATCTTTGTTTCTCCTTTGCACATGACATGTGCTGTCCATGTTTAGATCCCCTTTGCATTTGCACACACTTGCTTCATCATTTCAACCACAAAACACACCATTTCCTTCCCCTTTGCCGTGTATGTCCCTTTTACTTTGCATGTGGGCTTCTTTGCATGTGTTTTCTCCCTCTCTTGCCTTGAGTTTGCATGTGGGCTTCTTTGCATGTGTTTATCCTTGCAATTACACACACACACTTGCACACACAAAAGCCCAAAACGTCCATCCTCATGTCTCCATGTTTGCACCATCCAATCTTAGCCCAAAAATGCTCCAAAATGCTCCAAAATGCATCTTCTTGCATCCTTGGCCCATAGAACCTACAAACACACAAAAATGGCTTAAACTACTAACATAACTAAGAACTAAGAACATAAATGCACGAAAACAAACATACTAAGTCGCATAAATATGCTCCTATCAGTTGGCGGCGGCGAAGAAGCTTCAGATCCATCAACGGCTCTGCACCGTTGTGGTCACCGAATCCATCATCGCCACCATGTTCTGTAACCACGGAGAAGTTGAAAGGGTTCGCTGGCCGCCGCTTGTTCGATCAGGATTTTCCAGCGAGCTTCACGTCTCGCACTCGATTGACCCGAAGAGGACGAGGGAGGGGAGTATTCTGCAGATACTATCTTACGGCTTGATTCCCCTGGTTCTTCAATGCCTTACATGCCAAGCCCAAAAGGAATCAAACGGAAGTGGAGTTTGGTTGATGCATCTTTGACCCAGCACGTTAGCTCTTCACTGGTGCTTGGGCCTGGCCATTCAACGAGTTCCTCAGACCAGATCGGATGGCGGACGGAACTGCGCACTCGCGGTATGTGAAGCTGACAAAGGATCAAGCGCCGGCCGAGGACATTAAGCCCGGCGAGCTCAATCGGCCCATCGAAGTTCCCCAGTTGAATGTTCACAGGTGTCATGAATGCGGACAACCTTTACCCGAGAGCTATCAGCCCCCTGGAGATGAGCCTTGGACAACCGGAATTTTTGGCTGTGCTGAAGATAGAGAAAGTTGCTTGACAGGGTTATTTTGTCCATGTGTTCTGTTTGGGCGCAATGTTGAGAGCCTAAGAGACGATACCCCTTGGAACAGACCATGCATTTGTCATGCCGTTTGTATTGAAGGTGGTATGGCTCTGGCAGCATTAACTGCAATCTTCCATGACATTGACCCAAGGACTTCATTTCTTATTTGCGAGTGTCTGTTATTTTCTTGGTGGATGTGTGGGGTATATACAGGTCTTGTCTTGCAATCCTTGCAGAAGAAGTATCATCTACAGAACTCGCCGTGTGACCTATGCTTGACACACTGCTGCTTGCACTGGTGCGCCTTGTGCCAAGAGCACAGGGAGATGAAGGGATGCCTCTCGGACAATGCTGTGATGCCAATGACCGTCGTCAACCCACCCCAAGTTCAACAGATGAAGTCTGCTGACGACAACCAGGACTCCGCTTCACCACCGACAAACACCATCCAAGCTTACCTACCGCTCTTCCGCCCTACGACACGTCGCTCAAGCGACTCGAGCACCTCGAAATCGTACCATAGCTATCTCTGCAACATCCAGCCCAACAGAGCTCCACCTTCGAGATGCTGGACGGTGGTGCCAACTCTGTCGCCGCGTTGTCTGATTCTCCACCAGACCCCACCTGCTGCACATGGTGCGCACACCCGGAGCAAGCTGGGCTGCGCTCTCGGCATCGACTCTTTCCACCACAGCGCCTGGGCTCCCTCGAGCTCGTCGCTATGACCACCATGATAGCAAAGAACTTCAACGACCGCCGTCAAACGACTAGCCGGTCGTGAAGCTCGAAGCACCATCTTCTCCGTCCTCCTTGCTCCGCTGCCTGCAAATTTCTCTACCCATCATCAACATTTATACAAAAAAAGATATATTAAAAAAAAATAGGATGGTGGAGCAAAGCAAAGTGGTGCATCTGGCACCACGTGAAAAAAGAGGAATGGTGGATCAAAGATGGGGTACAGCAAGTTTCTGGTGGTGCATGGGCACCATGTGCAGAAAGAAAAAAAATTTGCAAAAAAATAAAAAAATGAAAAGTTTGATCTTTGGTGCGTCTGGCACCATGATTAAAGAAAAAATTGTTTGATATTTGGTGCTCTGGCACCATGTGCAAAAAAAAAATAATAAATAAAACAGGAGAAAAGAAAGGAAAATATAAAAAAATGGATGGTGCATCTGGCACCAAAAAAAAAAAAAAAAAAAAAAAAAAAAAAAAAAAAAGCATTAAGAGAAATAAAAGTCCATTTTATTTATTTTTTTCTGGAAATTTTACATAAAATTGCATTCTACATACTTAAAAAAAAAAAAAAAAAAAAAAAAAAAAATCAAATTTACAAGAGGGGATCTTCAAGGACGATCAGGTGCCGCCTCACCACTCGGCAGAGCTCCAGAAATGAGAGGCGCCGGAGGTTGACTGTTTGAAGCCACACCACTCGGCGGAACTCCAGGAAGAAGAGGAGCCAAAGGTTGATCATTTGGAGCTTCATTACGCGGTACAGCCCCAGAAGACGAAGGCAAATGCTGCTGGAACAAACCCACAAACCTCTGATGATCAAGTAAAATCTGTGCCGATTCACCCACTACCAAAGCCAAAGATCATCTACCACATGAAGCTCCTTGTGGTCCAATTTCAACCTTCAAGATCAAGCCTCGATGGCCCTTGAAGAAATTTCAAATAAAAGTTCAAGAACAAGCTTCAACGGCCCTTGAAGAAATTTCAAATAAAAGTGCAAGAACAAGCCTCAACGGCCCTTGAAGAAATTTCAAACGAAAGTTCAAGAACAAGCCTCAACGGCCCTTGAAGAAATCTCAAGCCCAATTCAAGATCAAGCCTCAACGGCCCTTGAAGAAATATCCAGCCCAATTCAAGATCAAGCCTCGACAGCCCTTGGATCGACATCTACAGTAAGGGACTTCAAAACGCATCTCCTACACGTGACAAGCACATGTATACGACGTGCCTTGAAGTGGGGGCATTTGTAGACATCGAAATTTCGGTAAATAAATGTTGACCGATAAATCAAAGTGTCAACGCTCATGTATTACATAAATTTTACACATGGCGTGTGACTAAACGAAAATTGAAATGAGTTGGAAAAGTCATCAAATAGGACACGTGTCAACACCTGGCAGAAACGACTTATTTCATCTGGGATATTATATTCAAAATTAGGCCTTGGAAAATTCTATAAATACAAGCCCATTTCATTCATTTGAAGGGAAATGAAAATCATTAGGCAAAACTCTTGAAGCTCTGAAGCTCTGAAACTCCGAAACTCTCAAGCATCCAGGTTCTCGAAGAATCAAGAAAGCGTTCTTCGTTCATCGTTCATCCAAGATCAAGCCCCAACGGCCCTTTGGATCAACAATCATCCACCAATTCAAGATCAAGCCCCGACGGCCCTTGAAGAAAGTGTTCTTCGTTCTTCATTCATCGTTCTTCATTCATCGTTCTTCCAAGATCAAGCCCCAACGGCCCTTTGGATCAACAACGTCGACAAACCCACACATCCAACCGTTCTTCAAGATCAAGCCCAAAAGCCCTTGAAGATCCGTTCATCATTGTTCTTCAAGATCAAGCCCAAAAGCCCTTGGAGATCCGTTCATCACTATTCTTCAAAGATCAAGCCCAAAAGCCCCTTTGAAGATCCGCTCAAATCCACCTTCAAGATCAAGTCCACGGCCCTTGAAGAACGTTCATCCTTAGATCAAGCCCAACGGCCCTTTGGATCAATCACACATCCACAAATCAATACCTTACGGAGATCGAATCAGAGGATCAAAATAGAGAGAGATTGTAACCCAAAATCATCAAATACAAATATTTGTTTGTGCGCGTCGTTCTTGTCTCTTTCGTTTCAGGAATTTTCCGTGTTCACAACTATATATAACATATATCTACTAAGGAAAAAAAACAAAAATTTGCGTCATTTCCATACACTCACTGTCGATCCTGAGACCCACAGTATATTTCTTTGAAGGGCAAAAGACTGTTTACTACCCTTATGTTTCGTGGTTTTCAACATTTAGTACATCAAGTTTTTTTCGTCCTAGAGTCATACCTAAAGTGTAAATTTTGGGACAGTCTCATACATCCGTTAGTCAAATTGTTAAGTCTGCCGTTAACAGTGACGTGGCGCCCATGTGGACAATGACTGGACGCCATGTGTCATCCACGTGGATATTTTAAAAAAAAAATATATATATATATATATTATAAAATAATAAATAAATAAATTTAAAAAAAAAGTTTTTTTTTTTTTTTTCTTCTTCCTCCTTCCTTTTCCTTCTTCTTCTTCTTCTTCCTTCTTCTTCCTCTGAATCTGGGTAGCAGATTTGTTTTTTTTTTTTTTCTTTCTTTCTTTCTTCTTCCTCCTTCCTTCTCCTTCTTCTTCTTCCTTCTTCCTTCTCCTTCTTCTAAATCTGCCTTTTTTTTTTCCTTCTTCCTCTTTCTTCTTCTTCTTTCTTCTTCCTTCTCCTTCTTCCTCCTTCCTTCTCCTTCTTCTTCTTCTTCCTTCTTCTTCCTCCTTCTTCCTTCTCCTTCTTCTTCTTCTTCTTCTTCTTCTTCTTCTTCTTCTTCTTCTTCTTCCGAATCTGCCCAGATTCGGTTTTTTTTTTATAATTTTATAATATATATATATATATATTATTTTATAACTTTTTTTTTAAATTTCCACATGGATGACACGTGGCGCCCAGTCATTGGCCACATGGGCGCCACGTTACAGTTAACGGCAGACTTAACAATTTGACTAACGGATGTATGAGACTGTCCCAAAATTTACACTTTAGGTATGACTCTGAGACGAAAAAAAATTGATGTACTAAATGTTGAAAACCACGAAACATGAGGGTAGTAAACAGTTTTTTGCCCTTCTTTGAAATTGTTATTTTCCACCTTGTTTAATAAGTAACTTATTAATATTACAAAAGAAAATAACATAAATGTTGTGAATTGAGGTGTGAATGCCCCATAGTAATGAGCAACCAAATATGATCGTAGCTTTAAAATGTTGTTAGGGAAAATGTCTTGGTAAGTTTGTTAGGTTGAAAAACATAGCCAACCAAATATGACCAAAGAAGATTGAAAACCTCTATATAAAGAGGTATTTGCATCATTGAAGAACACAACAGAAAAATAGAGAAATTCATGTAAGCTACGCCAATGATAGAGAGAAGAGAGAAGAAAGGCTAGAGAGATAAAGAAAAAAAATAGTGAGGTTATCTTTGTAGTCCTCTTATTTCAGATAATGAGAGAAAATACTACTGTTGCCCCCAGGATGTATGTGCACTTGCCGAACCTCGTAAATATTGTGTCTTATTTACTTTATATTCCACTGCAAATGTATCCTCAATTTCACAACACGTTATCAACACGAGAAGCTCTCGTGTCAGTGAAAAGTACAACGTCATAAATCCGGTGAAGCACTACCTACCTCTTACCTCTGTTGGCTAGAATCTTCATACATATGTATGAATAATTTTCTAAAAGCAAATGTACATCTGATTATATAACTATTATTATTATTGGCAAAGAATCTGATAGCCATGTAAGCAACCTCGGAACTCCAACTTCCTAACCTTAGATTGAAATACTTCATTCTTGAAAGTTGTTCGTCTGCTCAATAACTATAACGTATCCAAATTTCAAAAAACTCCAACGGTGCGAACATCATAGATGTTTGAAATACCAACCCAGTTTCCAATTCCGTAGAAAAGTGGACAACCATCTTATGAGTGCCAAAACCCCATCTTCAGTAGCTCAGATCGAAACGATTTCTTCACAAAAGTTGTCCATTACCCTTTTATCCATACCATACTAAAATTTGAATCAGATCCAACGATTTGATCTAGCTATGATTCTCAAACACTGCCGTTGATACATGACCATGGCTAAAAAGAAATAGGGAGTATAGTAAGTTAATATTTACTTTTTCCTTATTATTTTTAACTTTATTATTAATATGCTTGGTGCGGTATAATCATCCATCATATACTATATATATTATAATATGAATGGTACATGTTGATCACCATCACCCTTCTTATGTTAATATATATTTGTGGGGTGCAGCACTGTCGCTCTTCTTATAATAACAATTATTATCTTTAAGTTTTTGATATTTATGGGAATGGTGTTGAATTAAAACCCCTATCACAATCATTACTTATTTAAAGTAATTTATTTATAGTGGTTGGAATTACCACCCTTTGTTTTAATTTATTTATAGTACTACATTTTTTATGGTGAGTATATACAGGACCCAAAGTTCCATCATATAACAAGATCGGACCCAAAGTTCCTTGATCAAAATTAAAACCTAAAGTTTTTGAATCAATTGAGAGAACAACAGTTCCTCAACTTAACTGAAATGACGGCCATAAGCACCTTAGTTCACAAACTATTAAATGAGGACCAAAAGTTTCTTGACTCATGTAAATGAAGATCATAAATTTCTCAATCCATGTACAGATTAAGTATGAGCATGAATTCAAAAAATACGAACCTAAAGGTTCTAATGATGTCGATATCGAGAATGAATTTCGTGTACATACGTATAATGTTTTGACTTGATGTTCAAAATATAAATAATGTTAAGAACTTGAAGTTTTAACATTTGGTGTAGACATGTGTTATATATGGTATGAATTAATTATCGCAAGTTCCGTCATATCTGAATTTTTTCCTTTCATGAATAATAAAATGGTGAACTTAGCAAAACTCAGTTTTGTTACCATCAACATCTTATACAAGAGATACTTTCATGAATTCAAAATGGTCGAGAATTTATGTGAAAGCATATGATATTAAAAAACATCATTGCTTAAAAGCTTATTTAATCATGTTCATGCACTAGAA